GATGTTGCCACCCCCATGCTTCACAGTAGGTATAGTGTTCTTTGGATGCAACTCAGCATTTTCTCTCCTCCAAACATGACGAGTTGTGTTTCTACCAAACAGTTCTATTTTGGTTTCATCTGACCATATGACATTCTCCCAATCCTCTTCTGGATCATCCAAATGCTCTCTAGCAAACTTCAGATGGGCCCGGACATGTACTGGCTTAAGCAGGGGGACACGTCTGGCACTGCAGGATCTGAGTCCCTGCGGCGTAGTGTGTTACTGATGGTAGCCTTTGTTATGTTGGTCCCAGCTCTCTGCAGGTCATTCACTAGGTCCCCCCGTGTGGTCCTGGGATTTTTGCTCACCGTTCTTGTGATCATTTTGTCCCCACGGGGTGAGATCTTGCGTGGAGCCCCAGATCGAGGGAAATTATCAGTGGTCTTGTATGTCTTCCATTTTCTAATTATTGCTCCCACAGTTGATTTGTTCACACCAAGCTGCTTGCCTATTGCAGATTCAGTCTTCCCAGCCTGGTACAGGTCTACAATTTTGTTTCTGGTGTCCTTCGACAGCTCTTTGGTCTTCACCATAGTGGAGTTTGAAGTGTGACTGTTTGAGGTTGTGGACAGGTGTTTTTTATACTGATAACAAGTTCAACAGGTGCCATTGAGCCTCTTAAAGAAGAAGGTACAGGTCAGTGAGAGCCAGAAATCTTGCTTGTTTGTAGGTGACCAAATACTTATTTTCCACCATAATTTGCAAATCAATTCTTTCCAAATCAGCCAATGTGATTGTCTGGATTTTTTTCTCATTTTGTCTCTCATAGTTGAGGTCTACCTATGATGCTAATTACAGGCCTCTCTCATCTTATTAAGTGGGAGAACTTGCACAATTGGTTGCTGACGAAATACTTTTTTGCCCCACTGTATGTAAAGTGCTACGTAAATTGACGGTGCTATATAAGTACCTGAAATAAATAAATAAATAGGACACCACACCCAACCTATATATATATGAAAAGAAAGAGAAGGGAAGCAGCTCTTTACAGTGTAAACTACTCTGTTAAAATTTTCTATAAAAAAAGGCACTCGCCTCACTACAAATAAATTCAATCCCACTCAGTGATAAATGCATGACACATGAACCAAAGTGCTATCATTGATTAATAATTGACATAACCTAAATATTATCCATTGAATGAATAAAAATAAATCATAAACTAAAAAGTGTCCATAAATAAATCACAGTCTATCCACTGATTTCTCATCTGCTTGTGTGCCCAAAACCTGTTTGAATTCCACTTGCTGTTGATTCTTCACCACATGCATTAACCACTTTAATACTGAGCACTTTGACCCCCTTCCCGCCCAGGCCAATTTTCAGCTTTCAGCACTGTTGCACTTTGAATGACAATTGCGCGGTCATGCAACACTGTACCCATATAAAATTTTTATCACACAAATAGAGCTTTCTTTAGGTGATATTTAATCACCACTGTGTTTTTTTTTTTTTTTTGCTAAATAAACAAACAAACCTGAAAAACATTTGAAAAATAAATGCATTTTTCTTTGTGTCTGTTATAAAATTTAGCAAATAAATAACATTTCTTCATAAATTTAGGTCAAAATGTATTCGGCTACATTTCTTTGGTGAAAATACCCCAAATGTGTATATTATTTAGTTTGTAGGAAAGTTATAGAGTACACAAACCAAGGTATATATATATCTGAAAATTGATCAATCCTGATGCACTGATGGCCCATTTCATTTCTTGAGGCCCGAAAACGCCAGGATAGTACAAATACCCCCCAAGTCATCCATTTTTGAAAAATAGACAGTTCAAGGTATTTAGTAAGGGGTATGGAGAGTTTTTGGAGGTTGTAAGTTTTTGTTAAAATTTTTGAGAAAATGTAGAATTAAAAAAAAAAATCACAAATTTTTTTTTTTTTTTTTACATATTGTCACCAGTCCAGTACAACGTCATTATATAACTGGTGTGGCAGTGATCAGAGACATGGACTGGTGACAGTATGTAAAAAAATAAAAATAATAGTAATTTAATTTGTATTTTTTTTTCCAATTTTTCTATTTTTTTATTACATTATTTTTTTTTTTTCAACCAAAGCAATTTTTTTGTGATCAAAGCAATACAATGGTACCATAGTAACATTGAACTACTCTGGGCAAGTGATCAGGATTTCAATTTTTTAACACATTATGATTGCTAATACCAATGTATTTCATTTATATTTGCAAACATTGTTACTGAATGAAACTGATTCATTCAGTCTTTTGTTATGATTAGCTGTGATTGGGCAAAGCTCATCATGATACAGATAGGCCATGATTGGTCCTGTCTGTATCATGTGATTGCTTTGACCAGTCACAGCTAATAACATAATTGTATACAATGGATGGCATGACAGGAAGTCATCCATTCTATACAATTGACATGATTGGTCACAGCGGTCACATGACACTGACAACGGGCTGGTGTAGTGATATGTTATCGACTGTGTCCCGGTGACAGATCGCACCGCTGCGCAGCCCCACAGCTGCGTGAGCGGCTCGCTTTGAGCCATATCACAAAAAATGGCCTGGTCAGGAGGGGGGGGGGGGGGGGGGGGGGGGGGGGGGGGGGGGAATTATTCACATAGATCTGATTTGTCTTCTTAAAGGATTTTGTTTGGCTAAAATTAACTCAGAACTATTAATTAAGTAAGTTAAATTATTTTTAGAATTTATTGTTATATTTGGAAGCACCTTTAGCTGACTGAATTAATTGTCCATGCATTTCCTGGCATAACAATATGATGCAGTGATGTAGCATTTACTTATTGCTGTAAAAAAGAAAAAAAAACAGCTCACATGATGCTCCATTCTGGACCTTGTACTGGACTCTGCTATGTACAGTTTGCTAGACAATTAGCATGCTTTAAAGGTTTAACATGAATATTGCTGGAGGATCCAAGGTAAAACATGAGCTGTGAACTTTTTTTTTGGTCAGCAACAAATGAATGCTATACTTTGAGCACCCCAAATTTAGAAAAGCACTACTAATATAAAATAAAAACAAATTAACACCCATTATCCCCAAAATGAAAATCCCAAAATGCCATTACCAAAAGAAAAGGCAACAAAGGAGGTGATTGCCCAAAGAGATAACGGTTAGCATTAAAGTATCCTAACTGAACCTAATCTCTTCCTATGAATTTTATCACCCTATCCTCTCCTTGCAGTATCTTTCAAAACACTGACTCTATCATTTTGCTGAATCAACCACCTATTAAAGTGAGGAGGCTGACTTACCTAATAGCCTGCTTATTGGCTCTTATAAAGTCTGCCGACCATAGTTTAAAAGTCACACAATGCATTATGGCATTACAAAAATACTACCCATAGCTTTGCCCATTAATTTTATGGGGCTATAAATCTCACATCCACAGGATTCACCTTGACCCAGGGAGGCTGCAAATCAAAACCTAATCCCTACTAGTATCATATTGATTGTAGATCACAATATAACCCCTTAATCTAACCACAAGCATAAACCTAACCCCCAAACGTATCCTTTCGGTCCTAAACAAAAAGACAATAATTTTTGTTTGAAATCACTAGTCTAAACAACTTTAGCCTCAGAAAGTAATGATAAAGTATGGAACAAACTTTGATCAGCTTCCTTGTAGACCTTAAAGTGGTTGTAAAACTCTTTAATACACTTTAGAGTGTGTACTTGTCTCAATTAAGAACATTCTTATTTCTGTCTGCTGGTTTTCCTGACACCAAGAGAAAAATGGTGACAGGGGAGGGACCTCCAGCAGATTGACAGCCTCAGCTCTGTTCCTGTGTGCTGTGTGGATGGGGGTGTGTCTCTTCCCTCCATTCAGCTCTAAGAGCTCTCCTCACTGAGCTCTGCAGAGTGTAATTTCAGCTCTCCGCCCCCTTTTTTCTAAACACTCAGACAAGCTTTATAAATTCGGACTTTGAACAGATGTAAAGAAGAGTAGACTGCAGGCCGCAGATAAGCAGGTCCAACTTATGTAGGAGGATTTGTTTCATCTTTGTGTATCACCTGAGGCCAGTCACTTCACTGGGTATATGTTAGGGTTTACAACCATTTTAATTATGATACATTTCCAGCCCAGGTTTTTTGGATATATATCTTAATAGAAGTGTTGACTGTAATGTTAAACAAATTTTTGGCAGGCTTCAGCAAACTTTAAACTTAGTGAAGCCTACCAAAAGCTCGCTCTATTTAAAAAAAGAAAAGAAAATCAATAGTACATGCCCCTTCACCCCCACTGCTGATTTTCATTCCCTTCAGTTCACACTTGTGAGGGTGGAAGCCATCCGCAGTTGCAACCACCCGCACACAAAATGTGGGATCTGCGGGCTGGTGTCATTACTTTTAATGGACCGCTGCCCACACTAGAAAGCGCACCCACACTGGGAACCGCACTGCAGTGTAGTACAAAGTGTGGGCTGCGATTTCTGGAAAGGTGCAAGGACCTTTTCCCTGCATTTTGCAAGGCATGGCAAGCCATTCAAATGATTGGGCTGCCATGCTGAGGCCTGCAAAGTGGCACTAGTGTGAACCAAGCCTTAAGGAACTAAGCTAGCTAAACAATCATGAAACCACAGAACACAGAGAGAGACCAACCATATATTGATAGTATTGGATGCTAAAGGTTTTTTTTAGCAAGCTTAGCTCTTCAAGCCTGGCAGCGCAGGCAGTAGGACAATTAAGTATTACTTTTTTCTTTGCAGGGAGCAATTATTTATGTTTTTTATATTTTTTTTAGAAATCCTTTTAACCACTTGCCTACTGACCACTTTTACCTCCTTCCTGCCCAGGCCAATTGATGTGCACTAATGAGGCTGCACTGATGGGTACTGACAGGCGGCACTAATGAGGAGGCACTGGTAGGTGGCACTGATAGGCATTAACAGGCATCACTGGTGGGCATTGGCAGGCATCACTGATGGGCACTGAAAGGCATCACTCATATATGGCACTGATAGGCGGCACTGCCTGGCACTGATAGGTGGCACTGATTGACATCACTGATAGGCATCACTGACTGGCACTGATAGGTGGAACTGAAAGGCAGTTCTGATGGGCACTGATATGTGGCATTGATGTGCACTGGTAGGCACTGATATGTGACATTGATGTGCACTGATATGTGCTATTGATGGCACATAACAGTTGGCATTGATGGCACTGACAGGTGGCACTGATGGGGCTGCACTGATCATCAGGTCACTGATTATCAGTGCCCTGATGATCAGTGTAGATGTCCCCTCTGAGGAATGCCGCTTTCCGGCTATCCTCTCCTCACGCGCTGTCAGCTGTGATTAGACACAGCTGATCACATGACAGAGCCTGTGTCATTAGCTCTTTACTGAGAACGGTGATCCACTGTGTCCCAGGTATACAGCGCACCACCAATTGCCATGTGCCCCTGGGGGTGCGCATGCACAAAAAAAAGTGAAATTGCCTGTGAGCCACTGGAAATATATTATATATATATATATAGAATAAAAACTATATATATAATGTGAAAACTATATATTGCTAAAAAGTGAGTTCGCTGGCTCCTCTTTACATTCTCATATATGTGTATTAAAACAAAATAAATAAATATGTGGTGCAGCGCCCTCTATGTGAACAGGTGTCTAAGTGTTGGTAGCAGTATTGATCAAACAATAAAAAATATATATCAAATTGCAATAATAAATATGGGATTTTCAAATATATCAAAGGATATTCAGCTAATAGAAGTAAGTCCAGCCAAGTTTAAAGTCTCTTCATGAGATTAACATACTCAAAGTAAAAAATACTCACACTTTGCAATCAGTCTGTAAAAGTAAGTGTTAGTTAGAAGAGCAAAGGGTTACCCTGATGTAACACTCTGTAGGGAGCTGAATGGGTTAATCATCTCTTCACTCTTGAATATGTTACTGTGAGTAAGTATGGGATGTAGATCCTTCCTTCTTTGGGCTTTCCTTTCCTGGATGTACTGCTGTGAGCGAGTATGGGATATGGATCCTCCCTTCCTTATGCTGTATATTCCATCTCCGCATATATACCGGGAATAAAGAGAAAGGGATAGTGCATTATCCTCGATAAAACCATAAATCTTTATTTGTGCCTTAGTATGCACTCACATTGTTTAAAACTTAGTAGCGCTTTTATGGAAGATACCAGTGAAATAGCGGTGTGACCAGCCTGAGCGGCGTGTGGACACACACTGCCTATACTCGCCATTCAAAGGAGTCGGGTACGTGGTGACGTCGGTGCCCCTCCTCAGTGCGTTGCGCCGCAGGGTCACGTGGCTTCGTCTGGGGGATGTGATAGATTTATGGTTTTATCGAGGATAATGCACTATCCCTTTCTCTTTTTTCCCGGTATATATGCGGAGATGGAATATAGAGCATAAGGAAGGGAGGATCCATATCCCATACTCTCTCACAGCAGTACATCCAGGAAAGGAAAGCCCAAAGAAGGAAGGATCTATATCCCATACTTACTCACAGTAACATATTCAAGAGATGATTAACCCATTCAGCTCCCTACAGAGTGTTACATCAGGGTAACCCTTTGCTCTTCTAACTAACACTTACTTTTACAGACTGATTGCAAAGTGTGAGCATTTTTACGCTGCCCATGCACAGTTGGAGAGGGAGGATATCATATGACGTCCTCTCAGAAAGGGAGAACCACCGCCCATCCGTCATTTCCTTCTATGGCTGGCAGGAGGTTGTTAAAAAAAAACCTGTAGTTTGTTAATTAAGGAGACTCTGTCTCTGGGGAGGCAAAATGCTGCAGGTATGAAGTGCATGCACCTACCTACCATAGTTTCTGAAAACCTCCTGTCTTGGCTAAATCCCATACTGCTTTAACAAAGTAATGTTCTGCAGAGGTCTGGCCTACAGTAGCTCTACAGTAGTTCTTCAATAAGAAAAGCTTGAGCTTTGGGACTTCTTGTTCCAGCTCAGCAAAGGGTGTGTTGGACTTCTAGTTCCATAAAGAGCAACTCTGCAGCATGCTGGCAGGGGACAGGCCTTCTAAGGAAGGTAAATTGTAAGACATTGAAAACCTTTTGTATTGATGAACTTGGAAGGTATTTGGCTGATTTAAACGGAAAGTTTAAAGTGTTACTAAACCCAGGACCCAGCATTCACTATATCTGGTCTCCCACAGTACACAGAACATGGAAATGCAATTATTTTAGTAAATATAAACTGCTAAGTACCTTTTTCTCTTTAACAGTTAGAGCAGTCTTGTGACTTCTATCAGTGTCCATCAGAGCACTGGTTAAAGCTTGTAGGAGGAGTTTTCATTCCCCTCTAGTAGGATGGAGAACCCCTGACCTCTGTCTGGACAGTGCTGATCACATGCACTCTTTCAAAAAAAACGTATCTAGCAATACACACCAAACTGTGCATGTGCAGAGTGACTCCACACAATATGTCTTATCAGGAGATAAGAGGGGGGCACTGGAAGAAGGGGAGGATCAGAGAAGTCAGGATCAACAGCATTTTACACAATGCAGAGGATTAACCCCTTAGGTTCCACAGTGAGCATAACAAGCATGGTTTGTTGCATATACAGACTGATATTACTGCTGTGGGTTTAGTAACACTGTAACTGGGCCCTGAAGTGAAACTTTAGTCAATATAAAAAGCCCAACATGTAATCCAGTTTTGTTGTTATTAAGAAGACTGCATGCAAAGCCAATCAGGGTTCTACATGCATCACACAGGGCTTATCTGCTTTAAGGAAACATGTGTTGTGAAAACCCAAAGATTGCTATTGCTGTTCACTCCATCTAAAAATGCTAGGTGATTGGCTGGTGATTTCAATAATTCCCCAGGCATCTATTTAGAACAATTATGTAGAGCGGGCATTCTCACTTCAGTATGACTTCTGGCTGCATCCATTAGGACAATGAATGTGAAATACAAATCAGAGAGGTTTCTGTTTGAGGCTCAGTTATCTTTATCATGAGTCTGCATTGGTCCTGACACCCAAAGTAGTAAAGTTGTGGGGGACTTGGCATAGCATGCGGGTGGTAAGCCAATAGATTAATTGAAGGGGAGAAAAGAGCACAATAAAAGACATCTTTTGTGGCTTGTCTCCTTAAATGCCTTTATTGATTTACCGCTGGCATCCTTTTACAAATCCCAATGATGCCAACACAACTGACTGAATTCTTCCTGTCCTTTTAGACAACAGTTTATAGGCTGTGACAAATCCATTTTATCAATTCAAATTCTAGACATGTTAAAAAGTGCTGACTATTCCTTGTCTAAGTGGAAGTGTCCAGATGTATTTAGTATTAGAGATCTATCTGTCAATAGTCACAACTGGCAAAAATGGCAAGTATTGTCAGAACAATGTCACTTAGGCTTTGCTAAAACAACTATATTTTAGCTTACCAACCTGAAGTTACTCTCATTAGTTCAAAATGCTGCTATAGCAATATAGACAAAATGGACAAAAATGCTGGTATAACAATATGGAAAACCATAAAAGGAAGTGTATTAAAGAGGATTTAGAGTGTTTTCATAAACAGTTTCCATATTTCTTATGTTCACAACATAAAAATATTTTTCATGTAATAAAATTAATAAAACAAATAAGATTATAAACTTTAAAAAAACAATGACCATTATAGGTTGCTTTAAATAAAAAAAAACCTTTGTAACCTGCTTATGAAAATGGTTGTTGATTGGTTAGCATGCCGACCTTCTGAGTTCAATGCATTTTGAATTAATTATGCTACACTCAGCGGCTAGACTCATCCACCTCACCAACCGCTCCACATCTGCCTCCCCCTCTGCCAATCCCTTCATTGGCTCCCGATTGCCCAACGCATCAAATTCAAACTGCTAACTCTGACCTACAAAGCCATTCACAATGCCGCCCCAAACTACATAACTGACCTGATACCCAAATACTACCTTACCCGTGCCCTCCGCTCCTCACAGGACCTCCTACTCTCTAGCTCCCTGGTCTCCTCCTTCCACACCCGATTGCAGGACTTCTCCAGGACTTCCCCCATCCTCTGGAACTCCCTACCCCAATCCATCAGACTGTCACCTACCCTCCTCACCTTCAGGCGCACCCTGAAAACCCTCCTCTTCAGGGAAGCCTACCCCACCCTCACCTGAACAACTAACTAACAACTGACCTCACCTAACAACTAACCTCCTCCACTCCTCCCACCACTCCATCCCCCAAAGCCATCTCCTCCTGTACCACCTTCCCTTCCCTCCTAGATTGTAAGCTTGAAAGAGCAGGGTCCTCGAACCCCTCGTGTATTGTATTGTTTCTGTCTTGTCTCATGCTCTGTCCTCCTTGCTACTGTACAGCGCTGAGCAAACCCTTTGGCGCTATATAAATACTGTATAATAATAATAATTATGCAGAATGTTGTAGATCAGGAATTCAGACATTTTAACATCTTAGAGTGGTTGTAAAGCCTGAAGGTTTTTTACCTTCATGAATTCCATGGTTGAAGATAAAAACCTTCAGTATGCAGCTACCCCCACAGCCCCCCCTAATACTTGCCCAAGGCTGATCCCGATCCAGCGATGTGCACAAGAGCAGCTGCCGTCCTAGGTATCTACTTCCTCATTGGCTCAGAGACAGTAGCGGGAGCCACATACAGAGCGGGACTTAGGAGCAAGCAGGCATGAGTGCCCCCAGAGCAAGCAGCAGGGGATCCAATAATAGGAAGCTTGTGGCTGCTCTGTGCAAGGGTTTTGTAAGGTAAGTATAACATGTCTGCTATTTAAAATAAAAATCAAACACTTAAAGGTTAGTGATTTAGAAACAAAAGATTGAAGTCAGAGACAGCCATGCATCACATTTCCAGAAAAAGGTCAGTACAGAATAACATACAGGTTATGGTGAGAAAGAACTCAAGGAATTTAAAAATGAGTGTGTAGCATAACATTTTTAAGTATGGGTTAATGAAAAAATAATTATACTCACCTAGGTGGATGCAGCCTTAGTCTGATGCTACATCTATCCCCCGTCGGCTCTAAGACTGAGAACTGAGAGATCAAAGACCGCTGATTTCTCAGTTTTCAGTGTTTTGTGAGCAGAGTTGGTGACTGTCAGTCACGGACTCTCTGCTTTGCCTCCCCTTGTGCTCACTGGAGCACTGGACTGTGAAGGGGCCGAGAGCAGCTGGCTCAGCCTCTCAGTTCTGGAAGAAGCCAACAGCAGGCTTTTACACTCCTGTGCACTCCATAGAGCTTTGGCTTTATTTCTCCTTTAAAACAGAAAGTATTCATATATTTCATTCCATCACAAATCCAAAAAAAAATGAAGGATTATTCCTCATTTCAGGACACTGGGCAGAGCCATGCAAA